TTTAATCACTTTTTCGTGTTACCCTCTTTATATAAAGTCTTTACTTACTTACTATCGTATCAGAACGAAACCACTTAACCCGTGCGGAAAAAGATATTAGACCAAGGCTCGTTCACACTAGGTCCATCTTAGATCGATCCGAGATCTATCCGAACACAGTTTTCGAGAGCGTTCACACTATAAACGACCATAAAAACGTACAAAAGAAAAAAAAGAAAGAAAAAAAAAAATTAGCCAACCAAAACCGGGAGCCAAAATATCTAATAAATTATATTATATATTAAATATTTAAAAATATCGAAGTAAAAATCCCAAAATCATGTTTCCATAGCAGATGAACCATGACATAATCAACTTTGCTACGGCGCAGGTTCCTTTTGGTTTTACTAAACGCATCCCACATGGAAAGGAATGAGTATGCGGTCAAAGCCATCAGCGTCACAATCAAGATTTTTAAGTTTCCTTGTCATAGCAAGAGGTTAATCATCTACGGTCTAGGGGCCGACTAACCTCTCCCTTAGGCTTCGGCCGAGCTTCCTGATCAGTCTGTAAATCTTCGGATAGCGGTGTCGGGGCGGAATTCTCCGGCGTAGCCGTAAATGCTTCGCGCTGCCATACGACGGTTCAGCACTCGATGTCTGGAAGTATGGTCCTTTTTTATAAATCAATAAGTAAAAGTCCCAAAATTATGCTACAATGTTTCAAGTATTATGTTTATATATGCACAATAGATGTCTATTGACTGTCTATAGTGGAAGAGTCCCTCACAGTTAATGGAATGGAATGGTTGGGAAACTCCATAGAATAAAGCTATGGTTTTGCGTTTGAGGTTGAACCGTACCATCACGTGATACTAAGGGTGCACAATGGACCAAAGCAAGTATGGCTAAAAATACTCATTTCCTTATTATTTTCATGTATGAACAACTTGAAAGTGAAAACTTTCATACGATGACGAAAAACCATGTGGATAGATATTTCCGCTCAGATATAGTTAAATTACTAGATGATAAAAAAGAAAGCATTAAAAAGGGCAATTTCCTTTTCGATAAACAATATATAATATCGTATGGGATTAATTAACAAATAACTATTTTAGAATGATTTTTTTAGGAAAAAAATTCTATATTCCCTTCTCTGTGCACGGTCAACGTCATATAACGATGGATAAAGTCGAACAAAGACCTAGAATAGTAGGTTTCCTAACTATTCTGCTCCATTAAATATGGGTCCATTGACACGCATGTCTACATACAGTCAAT